CAGAGGTGCCCTTGATGTGCTCTGTACAGGTTAGCCTCCTGCGGCGGAGAGCAGAGTGGGAGAGGGAAAATGGAGGGGCAAACAGGACACACACACCAACAAGTTTTCTGGCCCGTGTATGCTTTTCCTGTAAGCACACTCCATGGGGCCTGATTCTAAGCAGCAGTTCCCCCCGGGAAAGCATGGAATCATAGCAAGGGCCCTTAGCAACAGGTGCCGGTTCTATAGGGAGTCTAATCTCATGGGGTTCTCCAGGTAGGTCATTTTCCTGACTGCTTCGCTGGACACTAACATGTCTGGCCCCTGTGACTCCTTTTCTTCTTCCTCCAAGGCTGACCAGCTGCACCCCCCACTAACCCGTACTTAAGCTACGCTGATACCTTCAGCCTGGGTTCAGCAGGCCTCACAGGCTCGGGCACCTCTCCATTGCTTTAGGGCAATGACTCTCACACTTGACCCTATATCAGAAGCACCTGAGGCACTTGTTAAAAACCTATTGTCAGGCCCCACCCCCAGAGTTTCTGATTTAGTAGGTCTGGGCTGAGGCCCAACCAGGCACATTTCTTTTTTTTTTTTTTTAATTAAAAAAAATTTTTTTTATTATTATGTTATGTTAATCACCATACATTACATCATTAGTTTTTGATGTAGTGTTCCAGGATTCATTGTTTGCGTATAACACCCAGTGCTCCATTCAGTACGTGCCCTCTTTAATACCCATCACCGGGCTAACCCATCCTCCCACCCCCCTCCCTTCTAGAACCCTCAGTTTGTTTCTCAGAGTCCATAGTCTCTCATGGTTCATCTCCCCCTCCAGTTCCGCCCCCCTTCATTTTTCCCTTCCTACTATCTTCTTTTTTTTAACATATAATGTATTATTTGTTTCAGAGGTACAGGTCTGTGATTCAACAGTCTTACACAATTCACAGCACTCACCATAGCACATACCTGCCCCAATGTCCATCACCCAGCCACCCCATCCCTCCCACCTCCCACCACTCCAGCAACCCTCAGTTTGTTTCCTGAGATTAAGAATTACTCATATCAGTGAGGTCATATGATACATGTCTTTCTCTGATTGACTTATTTCGCTCAGCATAACACCCTCCAGTTCTATCCATGTCATTGCAAATGGCAAGATTTCATTCCTTTTGGTGGCTGCATAATATTCCATTGTATATTCATACCACATCTTCTTTATCCATTCATCTGTCCATGGACATCTTGGCTCTTTCCACAGTTTGGCTATTGTGGACATTGCTGCTATAAACATCGGGGTGCACGTATCCCTTTGGATCCCTCCATTTGTATCTTTGGGGTAAATACCAAGTAGTCCAACCAGGCACATTTCTAACCACCTCCACGTAATGCTGTGCGAAGGGCCACTCAGAGGGAGCCACTGTTTTAAGGAGCTCCTGCATTATCTCTGCTCAGATCTAGATTTTGCAGCCAGTCAGAGAGCTATCTACTTCCCCTATCTCCGTGTTCTCATGGATTCCTCGAAGCTGCCCCCTAATGCACCCCTGCATTTCCCACCCTTGCCCAGAAGCCCCCCCTTCACCCCTACTACTGGGAGTCAGCCTTCTCTGTGACCGTGGGGGCCGGGCCCCTGAGTCCGGGTGTGTGATGTCTTCCTGTATGTCGGGTTTTGACAGACTTTCCCGCCATCTGTGTTCACACCGGGTTTTGTTCTCCACCCTTTGCCCTTGTAGATACTCTTACTCTTCACTTTTGTCCCATGTCAGAGCAGCTATCACTTTATCCCGGGGCTTTCTCTGAGCATCTAAGCTCTGTCCCACTATGGTAGTCTGCCAAACCATTCTTTTTTTTTTTTTTTAAGATTTTTTATTTATTTATTTGACAGAGAAGACACAGTGAGAGAGGGAACACAAGCAAGGGGAGTGGGAGAGGGAGAAGCAGGCCTCCCGCGGAGCAGGAAGCCCGATGCGGGGCTCGATCCCAGGACCCTGGGATCATGACCTGAGCTGAAGGCAGACGCTTAACGACTGAGCCACCCAAGCGCCCCATGCCAAACCATTCTTGATGGAAAGAACAGTCTGGGGGGCAGTCTCATCCCGAATACAGGCCAGAGGCCTCCCAATGGCCTATAAAGCCCTACCCAATCTGGCCTCATCTCCTGCCTGTTTCCCCTCATCCACCTGGCTCCAGCTACACTGGCCATTCTGCTGCTTCACAAATATTCCAGATATCCAGACATGTTCTCACCTCAGGACCTTTGCACTTGCCTGAAATGCTCCTCTCTCATATAGCCACATGGCTTATTTCCATACCTTCTTGAAGTCTTTTTTTTTTTTAAGATTTTATTTTTAAGTAATCTCTACACCCAGCATGGGGCTCGAACTTACAACCCCGAGATCAAGAGTCACATGCTGCACTGACTGGGCTAGCCAGATACGCCCCTACCCGAAATCTTTGCTCAAATATTTTCTCAGAGAAGCCTCTCTGACCACCCTCTTTAAAACTGTGGTCCAGGGTGCCTGGGTGGCTCAGTCAGTTAAGCATCTGACTTCAGCTCAGATCATGGACTCGGGGTCCTGGGATCAAGTCCCCCCACAGGCTCCCTGCTCAGCAGGGAGTCTGCTTGTCCCTCTCCTACTCCCTCTGCCCTGCCCCAGCTCATGCTCTCTCTCTCTGTCTCTCAAATAAATAAATATTTAAAAAATAATAAAAATAAAATAAAATAAAAATAAAACTGCAGTCTACCACAGCACTTCCTATCCCCCTTCCCTACTTTGTTTTTCTGCATAGGTACTTGCCGCCTTTAATATGTTTATTATTTTTAGAATTTTTTATTTTTAAGTAATCTCTACATCCAACATGGGGCTTGAACCCCAAGATCAAGCATCACATGCTCCACTGACTGAGCCAGCCAGGCACCCCAATATGTTTATTTTTTTATTTTTATTTTTTTAAACATTATTTATTTATTTATTTGACAGAGAGAGAGACATCGAGAGCAGGAACACAAGCAGGGGGAGTGGGAGAGGGATGCGGGGCTCGATCCCAGGACCCCGGGATCATGACCTGAGCCGAAGGCAGACGCTTAACGACTGAGCCACCCAGGCGCCCAATATGTTTATTTTTATTGTCTGTCTTCCGCAGTTAGACTGTCCATGAGGACAAGAATTGACACTTGGTTGGATCACTGAGGTGGCATATAGTATGCATTTGATAATTATTTGTTGAATGAATGTATGAATAAAGAAATGAATCCCCCCCACTAGGCACTGAGACCTGAGTGTGGGTTGCAGCTTTCTCTGAAAGGAGAGAGGCAGCTACAGTAAAGGGAAGTCCAGAATTCAGAGTTCACCCCAGCATCTCCCCCAACCTGCACGGGTCTGGGAGCGGGCAGTGAGAAGTGAATACTCCCAGCTGCAGAAGGAGAAGTAAGGTGAAGGGGAGAGGAGAAGGAAAGGTGTCTCCATCGATGCTGGGGCAGGGTGGGTGGAGCTCTGGGTGGGGAGTTTTTATTTATTTATTTATTTATTTGAGAGAGTGAAGGGGGAGGGACAGAGGGAGAGGGAGAGAATCTCAAGCACACTCCCCACTGAGCAGGGAGCCCCCTGCAGGGCTAGATTTCACAATCCTGAGAAACCAAGAGTCAAGACAATCAACTGACTGAACCACCCAGAGTTTGGGAGGTTTGAACAAAAATGGTGGGGAGTTTGAACAAAAATGTCTCAGTGAGGTTCCGGAACCTACTAGCCTCACCCCCCCTGGAAGCAACTACCCATACAACGAAAAAAAGGGAAAAGGATATGCGTGGGGAAGACATTTATTAGAGGCTACTTACCCACTCTATTGAACCCACGGTGACTGGCCCCGATTACACACACACACACACCCCCTAATGTTGGCTTCACCCCCTGGCTCTTGTGTCCACAAATACTGTCTCTCTCAGCACCACTTTCAGTTCCTCCAAAGAATCTACTTAAATTCACAAATTCCTGGGGCACCTCGATGGCTCAGATGGTTAAGCGTCTGCCTTGGCTCGGGTCATGGTCCCAGAGCCCCACGTCGGGCTCCTGGCTCAGCGGGGAGCCTGCTTCTCCCTCTTCCTCTGCCTCTCCCCCTGCTCATGCTCTTTCTCTCTCTCTGTATCTCTGTGTCTCAAATGAATAAATAAAAATCTTTTAAAAAATTCTCGAATTCCTGAGCTCTGTAGATTTCACTAAATATTTCAAGGGAGATAAGATGAATGAGTTACATTGCACATCCTAAAGCGAACAAATACAATTCATGTGTTAGGCATTGCCATATTTCCAAGTGCCTCTGTGGAGCTGCCAGACTGGGTGTGAAGCTTCTCTCCCTTTCTGACCCTACACCATCTTGCTGTCCTTTTAGATCTGCCGGTGGACTTGAGATTTTTCTCCCATTCACGGTGTAGAAAAATCCAGTCAGCCCTTCCTCGGCTATGTATCCAAACCTGTGTGCCCAGACTCATGACATCCGACAAAATGCAAGTCTTAAGATTTACCTGACCCTCAGCACCTGTTCAAAGACCATTTATTTGTTCCTGAGAGTAAATAGCCCTCCCCCATACCTCCAGTGGCTTCTTTCCTGCACAGACTGGGCTCTCTTTCTTTTTTTAAAGATTTTATTTATTTATTTATTTATTTATTTATTTATTTATTTATTTGACAGAGAGAGACACAGCGAGAGAGGGAACACAAGTAGGGGGAGTGGGAGAGGGAGAAGCAGGCTTCCCGCTGAGCAGAGAGACTGATGTGGGGCTCGATCCCAGGACCCCGGGATCACGACCTGAGCCAAAGGCAGACGCTTAATGACTGAGCCACCCAGGCACCCTAGACTGGGCTCTCCTTAAGAAGAATTTGGGAAAATGTTATTTTCTCATCTCAGTCCTAGAGCCACCGGCCCCTTCCTCCTGGGGTGCTCATGTCAGCAGAAGCTGAGGGGAAGTGAGGCCTGAGACTGGAGGAGGAGGGAATGAGGGGAAAGAGGAAGTTTAGGAGGGAGGCCTCCGAGGAGGCTGATGGGAGAGGAGAGCCGGCAGACCGAGAGAGCACCAGCTCCGTCTCTAACCACCTATCTACCGGTCTCTCCATCAACATCTGCTGAGCTATGAGCCAAACCAGGGATTTACAGGGTAAGGAAGGTAGAAGAGGCAGAGCCTAAAATGGGAGCAAGGAGATGGACAGACCTGGGCAGGGCTAGGAGGTGGTGAGCAGGTCTAGCGGGGCAGAACTGTGATGACCCTGGGCCAGTGTGGGGGAAAGAAGAGTAATGGGGGGTGAAGAAACATTAACCTCTGTGCCCCCTCAGGAGGAAAAGCCTTCGGGCTGCTGAAGGCCCAGCAGGAAGAGAGACTCGATGAAATCAACAAGGTAAAAGGAAGATCTGAGGGGGCAGGGCCTGGGGGGAAGGGGCCCCTGGACCAGGGGGACCTATCCTGGCTCTTGCTTTCTCCCCACAGCAGTTCCTGGATGATCCCAAATATAGCAGTGATGAGGATCTGCCCTCCAAACTGGAAACCTTCAAGAGTGAGGGGAAAACTGTAGGGGCAGATGGGGAGTGAGGAGGGTAGGATTTCCTCAAGAACAGAGAAAGGACCTCAAAGACGCAGAGTCTACATGTGTGGTGGAAAAAAGGGAGGCTGCCTCTATTGTTCCCCCTGGTTGCAGTCTCTTTCCTTGGGCTGCTCCTCTCAGCACCCTCTCTGGTTCCCTACACTTTAACAGGGTGCCTCAACCCAACCCACACTTCCTCTGCTTGCCCCACCTCCCCTTTCCACATCTTCCCCACCTAGCACTTGGTCAGTGGCCCTTTTCTCAAGCCCCTGCCCTGCCCCAGCCTGGGACCCTCCAGCCAGCGCTTACCCTGCTTTCTCCCCTCACCCAGAGAAATACATGGAGTTTGACCTGAATGGAAACGGAGATATCGGTGAGAAAAGGGTGATGGGGGTGTGTGCAGACCCAGGAAGAGGGAGGTCTCTCCTACCGTGCTCCATTCCCAGTGGTTTGGGAGAGGGCCCAGCTACTAGAGTAGGAGGGACTAGAATGGGAATGGGAAGGTGAAGACAGAGAGAGAGAGGCTCCCCTTTTCTCACCCCCCTCCTCTGCCTCTAGATATCATGTCCTTGAAGCGGATGCTGGAGAAACTGGGGGTCCCCAAGACCCACCTGGAGCTCAAGAAATTAATCAGGGAGGTGTCCGGCGGCTCTGGGGAGACTTTCAGCTACTCTGACTTCCTCAAGATGATGCTGGGCAAGAGATCTGCCATCTTAAAAATGTGAGGGTCCAGTGCCAACCTTTCCTATGCTTACCTGTTTTCTCCTCAACCCTACCCCCATCCCCAGGCTCACCTGCACATTATTCAGCATCCATTTCTTCCCTTCTTTGAGGGACCCTTCCAAGTTCCTATCCCTATCCATTGTTCTGGTCCCTACAGCCCCCAGCACGGCCATCCCTGCTCTTCCTCCTCCTCCCACCATAATAACGCCTGTCCTCTTCCAGACTTTCACAGCAGCCTAAGATTTATTCTCTCGAGAAGACTGTCCCCTGATCCCTCTGTCTCTTCCCATCTCAACCAGGATCCTGATGTATGAGGAGAAAGCGAGAGAACAGGAGAAGCCAGCAGGTCCCCCAGCCAAGAAAAATATCTCTGAGTTGCCCTAATTTGTGGTAGGGGAATGTTGTGGGATTGATGGGGATTCTAATGACCCCAACATGGAAAAAGGACACAGAATTGTGAGCCAGAGGTACACTAAATTAAATAAACTATCCTCCTCCAGATCAAGTCAGCTTGGTCTCTGTTTGGGGGGAATTTTTTTCCTGGGTTTGGGAAGAAGTGAACATCTTTGAGGGAAGGGCAGCAAGGATTTGTCCATATGAGCAATCCATCCACAATTTTGTAATGTGTCAACTACAGCAGATGGTTTTGGACTTCAAGGCAGATTCCAGATATATGATAGCCTTGATCTCAAGGAATTTAGATGGGACAAAAAGACATGTACAGACAGAAAAAACACCACCCAGGCCCATGGGGAAGAGCAAGGATTATCTTTTTTTTTTTTTTTTAAGATTTTACTTTTTTTAAGTAATCTCTACACCCAATGTGAAGCTCCAACTCACAACCCCGAGAGATCAAGAGTCACATGCTCTATTGACTGAGCCAGCGAGGGGCCCCAAGCAAGGATTATCTTAAACCAATATTCTCCATCACTAGTCTTTGTTACCTAACAAATCACTAAGACTCTCTGAGTCTTTCATCAGAAAGTAGGGATAATATGATCTACCACACAGCGCCTGGCATATCATAAGCCCTCAATAATGTTTAAAAATTGAATGGATGGATGGATAGATGGATGGATAAAAGAACTGATGTTACTGAATAAAGGATTCACAAAACTGTAAGTCCTGATAAGTTAAGTATTAAATGAGTCATTGAGGTCCTTTTAGGGGACAAGCTGCAGAAACTGAATCTAATGAAGGGAAAGGGGGCTTCTATTTGGAGGATATTGAGGACAGATACTGGGGATACAGAATACTTGGATGGCAGAAAGGATTAAAAAGTCAATCCTGGGGGAGCCTGGGTGGCTCAGTTGTTGGGCGTCTGCCTTCGGCTCAGGTCATGGTGGACATGGTGATGCTCCTTCACGGCCATTTCCAGCCCCTGGCCATCAACCTTGTACCATTCCCTATTCTAGGTGGTTGGGATATAAGAGTCAACCAAACAATGATCCTTGCCATTGTGAAGTTTACATTCTGTTGTGGAAAATGGTGTGGGAGGAGGACAGACAACAAACAATAAATATAATTTAAAATTTATATGCTGTTAGAAGAAAAAGTAGAGCAAGTTAAAGGGGATCGGGGGTAACAGGATGGTCAGGGAAGATTAAAATTTTGAATGTGTCATCAGGGTAGGCCTCATTGAGAAGAGGACCAGCATTGAACAAAGACCTCATGGAGGTAAAGGAATGAGCAATGTGGGTTTCTGTGGGAAGAGTCAGCTTGGCGAGGAAAAGAGAAGCAAAAGGGCTCCAAGGTGAGACATGCCTGGTAGAAGTAGGGCAAGTGATAAAATCATGAGGCCAAGTCATTTAGGGTCTTGTAGGCCACTCTAAGGACTTTGAGAGAAACTGAGAGGCATTGTAGGACTTTGAGCAAGGGAGTCCTTTGAGGCCTCCTTTGAGAAAAGGCCCACTCTGGCTGCAGTAGGGGCAGGGGTAGACTAAAGACAAGTTAGGAGGCTGTAGCTGTAACCCAGGTGAGAGATCAAGGTGGAAGCAGTGTAAGGGAATTGGCTGGATTCTGGATTCCGGATATTTTCTCAAGACAGGAGTTCCTCTCTGCTTGAAAGTGGGGAGTGAAATAAAGAAGGGAGTCCATGAGGATTCCAGGGTTTTTAGCTTAACTATAATTTTTAAATTGCCACCAACTGAGATGATGAAGGCTGTGGAGAGAGCAAATTTTGAGGGTCTGGAGATCAAATGTTCGGTGTTGGACCTACTGAATTTGAAATGATTGGTTAGATAACCAAGAGGAGATGTCAAGTACATAGCTGTGTAACCAATTCTGGAGTTTGGGAGAGAGGTCTGCATTTGGGAGTCATCAGCACATGAATGCTATTTCAAGTCATGAGACTTAGGTCCTTGATACACGCACGCTGGGTAAAAGATTGGGGTAAAGACTTGACCAGAGTTGGTTTAAGAATGAATGACAGGAGGGCGCCTGGGTGGCTCAATTGGTTAAGCGACTGCCTTCGGCTCAGGTTATGATCCTGTAGTCCCGGGATCGAGTCTTGCATCGTCGGCTCCCCGCGCAGCAGGGGGTCTGCTTCTCCTTCTGACCCTCTTCCCTCTCGTGCTCTCTCTCTCATTCTCTCTCTCTCTCAAATAAATGGGTAAAATCTTAAAAAAAAAAAAGAATGAATGACAGGAGGGAAATTGGTGACAGTGAATATGGATAACTCTTCCAAGAAATTTTGCTGTGGCAGGTGACCAGGGAGAGGGGGACAAGAGAATCATTTTGAATGCTTAAGAACTGAAGTCATCTCAACAATCTTAATGTGCCTCAGGATAAAACTGTTATCGGATTCTTGCTAATTTTTCTTTTTTTTTTTTTAAGATTTTATTTATTTATTCATGACAGACAGAGAGAGAGAGAGAGAGAGAGAGGCAGAAGGAGAAGCAGGCTCCCAAGGAGCAGGGAGCCCGATACGGGACTCGATTCCAGGACTCTGGGATCATGACCCTGAGCTGAAGGCAGACGCTTAACCATCTGAGCCACCCAGGCTCCCGGATTCTTGCTAATTTTTCTGATCTCATTTTCCATAATGGACAAGCAGTCTCTTTAGTCACAACAGCTGAGAGGCACGGGTCCCTAAAACCATGCCTCTGCTCATCAGTTCACTGGGCCTGAGCTGTGCACCCTCTCCTCAAACTTGGCTAAATCCTAACTAGTTCTTTACATCTAAAAAGATCCACGTTTTTCTAGAAGCATTTCTGAACTTCCCCAGGAAGGATCTGATTTTATCCCTCTACTTTCATAATATATTGTGGCTATCTCTCACGCCTTCGAAACAGTTGTCGAATGATTTGCTGAACGGGTAGCCGGTCCGACAGGAGCATAGTAATAGGAGACAAAGGAGGGAACTAGTACCACATTTCGTAGAATGAAACCCATTGTGAAGAGAATACAAACCGCCAATAGTATCAGACATACAAATATACTCATGAAAATTATAGGTTATAAAATTAAATGTCTTAGTCATTGGTTGCCGATATGTTGATCGAAGAGGTCATTCCTACCCTATCTTTGTTCAAATGATTTGCATGTATTATGCAAATAAACAGAACTAGCGAAAGAATGCCTACACTGCACGGGGCCGACGATACACTCCCCTGGACCCCAGGATTGGCCTGTCTATCCACTTCATTTGCATGACGTGATTTAATAACTAGAAGGCCCCGCCTCTTTGGTGCTTTCACCTCTCGCGAATGGACGCGTGAGTCGGGACTCTTCCCTGGTTACGTAAGCCCCGCCCTCCGGCAGCTAACCCCTTCCGCCCCGTGCTCTCGCTCCATCCCCGCTGAAAGCACTGCCAGTCTTGCATCGTTTCCTTCCACTCTCCGCGTCCGTACGTCTCTCCGCTCTCATCTTTCCACGAACGCACGACGCACGCTCCGCCCCTTCCCCCCGCCCATCATTATTCGTGCAAATTCTGCGCCCTAACCGCCCGGCCGACAGGCACTGCATTCCCGCCCCCTCTACGCGTCTTAACGGCCGACGCCGGGGGCGCGTCTCTTTAGCCAACCGGCGTCCTAGCGCCTGAAAGTCCCTCCTCTTTATGCAAAGAACCTATGTTTGCTCCGCACGCCCTGCTTTTTTTTTTAAATAAGGACAGCCCTCGAAGTAAAGAGGGATAGGGTAGTCGGTGCCCCGCCCTTTATGCAAATCAGGGGGCGTGTCATGCGCTGAGGGAGGCGGGAGGTGGGGGGGCTGCTCCCGGGGGCGGCGGTTGCCCGGATGGGCCGTTAGTCGGAGCCCAGCCGCGGAGTGAGCGAGGGAGACGGGAGGAGCCGAACCCGGCGCCATCCGCCGCCATCCGCCCCCGCCCCACCGCCATCCCACCTCGGGGAGCCCCTAGGCCCCGGTCCCGGACCCCCGCGCACCCGGCCAGGTGAGTCTGGGGAGCCGAGTGCTAACGCCCTTTTCCGGCGCGGGAGCGGTGGTGGCGGCGGCGGCGGCGGCGGCGGGCCGGGGGGAGGAGAAGCTGCCATTAGCCGCCGCCATTTTGTCCTCCTGCTGCCGGGGCCTGACTGCCCCTCCCCCTCTGATACCCCAGCTTGGTACCCGCACCTCCAGCCCCTCACACAGAGTCTGTGGCCTACCCCTAACCATCCACATTCCTGGCTTTATGGGGCGACCCCCTCTCCTGGGCCCCTAACTCCCCAACCTCAGCTGCGCTTTTGGCCTCTTCACCCCAGTCTGTGGGTCCCCTTCCCCGCCGCCAGTCTGGGGTGGGCCGCGCCCGCCGATTCTCGGAGAGTCTCCTTTCCTCCATGTTGGGCCACCCTCCCATCACCTAGTGCTTGGGTTTCCCATTCTTGACGCCCCTCTTCGCGTCGAGTCACTCCCACCCTGGAACCCTGCTTTTATCCTACATCTTTGCTTTTTACGTTCCTCAGTCTTTCTCTGCTTTTTCATTTTTCCTATTTCTCCTCTGTCTCAGCCCCCCCCCCCTTTTTTTCTTGGGTCTCTTGACATTGCCCTCTTACTTTGCTCTGTATCTTTTCTTTACCATTTCTGGTTGAGTGTATTATTTCCCAGCTGCTTTCGTGTTGATCCTCTTTTATTAGTGTTACTCCACATTTGTCTGTCCCCTTTCTTCATGTGTTTATTTTTCAAAGATTGGAGTCTTTAAACACCTACAGGGTGTTCTTCATCTTACCTGTCTTAAAGTTTTCCGTGCTTTTCATCCTGATTTTACCCAGTTTTTATCGTGGGCCTGCCTGGATTTCCCACCACCTCCCATCTCTTTCCTGTACGCCATTCCTTCCTATAAATGAATGCCTGGTCACTCAGGAACCAACTGACGATGCAGAGTTTGGCCTGCTTGGGGAGGAAGGGATATTGGGGAAAGAAATGACTGCTGATGACTGTTCTTACTGAGAATAGGAAAATGAAGTTGGTTCTGGCTTTGGCCCCATGGTTACAGAGTGTGCTTGAGGTGGCTCCATAATGTTTTTCTCATATCTGCATAGGGTAAGCCAGAGCCCACCAGTGTTTTCATCT